TAATGTCATAGTTTTATTGCATTATTTATTTTATGATTCAGAGCAGATTTTCATAAAATGGTGTTTTTGTTTGACAAAAACAAATTAATGATTTAAATTCTCCAAGGAATTCTACTTTTAACCAATATAAATATGAAGTGGGTGGAATTTTAATTTCTCAAAATTTCAGAAAATTAATTGGGAGGCGGGTAAAAAATATAAAAAGAAAAATTTTTACCAAGATTTTCTCAAAAAATAATTTCATTCATTTGTTAATAAGTCCTTAAAATTTACTAAAAATCCAACAATGATTTTGATTTTTGCAAGAATGTATATTTAACATCAAAAAAGATTCTAAAATTTCCCATAGTAATCTTTGGCCCATCTAATGACGCAAAAAAAAAAAAAAATAAAAAGATTTTTTAGTCAACATTTTGAACACTAGAAAATATTAAAAAATAAAATTATAAAAAATACATTGGTCTTCTTAATAATAATAAACATTTTGACAATAAAACTTTTTTTTTTTATCAAGTTTGGGGCCCCTTTTTTTATCATGGTATGCTCTTTTTTTAGCAAATTTTTGGAGGTACCTACATTACAACACGTCTAGTAAATTCAGCATCATTATCTCTGAAATGATTTTGTTTCATAAATTATATACTACTGAACCAGTTTGTCTCACCATTTTTGAAAAGTATCATCTTTTAAGATGTTAGCAAAAATGAAATAAGGCTTTCTCATTATTATTTTTGACTTGGTTTGTATTTCTTTTCTGATGTCAAAATGTCAAGGTTAAAAACAAAGACATGAAATAACTGATATGATTTTATCAAGTCTCAATCTACTTGAAATTTTTTTCTTCATCCATTCATCATTATGGACAATTCAGAATCCCTCCTTGATATAAAATTTTTTTTTTGTTTTTAATGAACTTTTTTTTAAATGGACCTTATCTCATCCTTTGTTTTAATGGACCTTATTTTGTCCTTTGTTTTAATGGAACTTATCTTACCATTGACTAAAACAATTCATAAATGTAAATGTCAAAGTTTCATGCAAAAACTAGAAAAAAATATTGAGTCTGGAAAAAAAAAGACTAAATGTACTGTAAAATTTAGCAAGAGTTTTTAGAAAAATATTTTTGATTATGATTATTTCATGTAATATACAGCTGCAGCAAAGCCAGAGATTACACTGGCTGAAATGTGATAAAAACAACAAAGATGAAGATACTAATTAAAATATTTCACATAATAATGCCAATGTTTCAATCATGGAATTTCAGGCAATATGAAACAATACAACTGTTACTAAGAGACAAACATTGATGAAATGTGAGAAAACTAAGATTTCAATCTGAAACTGTTCATTTAGTTGACATAGCATTACCAAATTATGAAATGTATCGTGTGTGCAAAAGTTCATTCATATTTATGCAGTATAGAAATGTAGAAAAACTTTTCAATAATGACTTTATAGCATACAAAAAATAATATGATGGGGTTAATTTTATTAGTCATACCACCAGTAACATATTTGTGAAGATTGGTGCTATATCAAGTCTAATTCGTTACCTCTTCGTCACCCATTTGGTATAGTCAGTATGATGCTTGCGTCGTATCGTAGAGGTCCAGGTTCAATTCTTGGTAGTGGACGCACACTGCTGATGAGTCCCAAATATAGGACAAAACAGCCGTCCAGTGCTTTCTGCATTCTGTTAAGGATTTTTCTAGACTCACTGAATTACTTAATTATGATTATTTCAAATCTTAATAATTTCTATACTTTATATTCTTGCTTGAACCGGCTCCTAATGCAGTAGCTTGGAGATATAAGACGTGGCACAGTCTATTGGGTTGGGGAAACTCGGAAGAGTTACACCTCAGAATTTGTGAAGAGTGGCACTATATAGAGTCTAATTAGTAGTCTGTCACTGAGGCCAGTTGGTATGACACTTGCACCATATCTTAACAGTCTGGGTTCGATTCTTGGTAGTGGATGCACACTGCTGCTGATTCCCAAATATAGGACAAAACGGCCATCCACTGCTTTCTGCATTCTGTTGATCTTTCTTCTAGACGCTATGAATTACTTATTTCAAATCCTCCTAATAATTTCTAACACTTTTTTATATATGTGTGTGTGTGTGTGTTTTTTGCCTATTGTCTGGTTCATGCACACACCACCCCAGGCTTTTTGAACAGGAGTAGATGTTTATCCTTTGTTGTTGACTCCTCCTAAAATCTCATTCTCTTTCACTCCTAGTAGCCTCTTGTGTCTTAATGGCGTTATCACCTAGCTTGGGTTGAATTGATTAAAAGAAAAAAAAAATCTAAATTCAGAATATGATAAAAGGTGGTGACTATCCATAGGTATTAACAGTTGTAACATTGTCACTCTATACCAGGTTCAAAATTTGTCTAATATATCCTACCTGTGATATCAAACTACAAAAACAGCTAGTATAAAGATTTGACTAATGCAACTGATTTGTGGTTTTATAAGCAACACCAAACAAAGGATAAATTGAAAAAATTTTAAGAGTTGATGTAATGATATATATATTTTTTTTTATTTTGGCAGTCAGTTTCTCTATAGATAATATCTTCTGTTCACAATTTGTAATT